AATCCACAACAACCTCCACGGGACAAGTAAAGGATTCAGACTTCCCCAGCCTGCACAGGATCAGACCACAGAAGAAGAGAATCTTTGGAATAGAGCAAACCTGAAGTTGATGAATGTCACAAACCATCATGACATTTACACAAAACCCCAAGCATGTGACAGGTGACACTTAACTCTCCATTTCCTGGACAATATCCAGTAGGAGCTGTATGTTTTTTGTGATCTTCAGCTTCTTCCCAATAGAACATTCAAAGTCACAGAGCCAGAACTTTCTGAAGGCAATGGCAATGCTGCAGAATAAAGGCAGGTCTTTACCTGTGACAGCCTGAGAAACGAGGAGCAGCTATGCCCCTGCTCACCTTGCAAAACTGCCTGCCAGCTCTTCCATGGGTTATGCAGCCAGGTTTGTGCTCCTGTACTTATCCTCACAAACAGCACTATAAAACCACCAACCCAGTGCAGACTGGGAAGTGAAAAATGCACAAGAGCGTGTTTTAGCTTGCAGGTTCCCTGTTATTAGTGATATGAGAGTATGACTCTCCTAACAGTGGGCTGCATGGTTGCAAATTAATTGCTGCTTCTGAACATTTAGTGTATCTTTGCGAGCAAAATGCAAAAGAAGAGCTAATCTTCAGAGCACTTCACTTAGCACAGATGTTCAGGTACACAGACAAATGCCAAGGAACCACAGGTTAATTCCTCATTGTCCTCTTTTTCTCCCCCCAAGGACTGGTTTCTAGCCCAAATCACTTGGCATCTGCCAGAGCCAGGGTCTCTGATGTATTTCCCAGGAGTTTCTGTATCTTGGGAACTGTCAGTTCTCTTTACAATGGTGCTGCACTGCACCCTTGTGATGATGAAGGCTGGTCACATGCCAGCCTGTACTGGCCAGAGTGTAACCAGCATGTGAAAGGGCAAGATTAAAGGTCCTCCATCCGTCCGGGTGCTCAAAACTGACTGGACAAGTCCCGGAGCAACCTGATGAAGCTTTGGAGTTAGCCTCACTCCCAGCAGATACAATGGTGCTGCACTGCACCCTTGTGATGATGAAGGCTGGTCACATGCCAGCCTGTACTGGCCAGAGTGTAACCAGCATGTGAAAGGGCAAGATTAAAGGTCCTCCGTCCGTCCGGGTGCTCAAAACTGACTGGAGAAGTCCCTGAGCAGCCTCATCCCCAGAAGGTAACAGGATGAAAGACCTCCAGCAGTCCCTTCTCACCTGTGATTCTATGCCAGCCTTTCCAGAACCAGAGATGCTGCTTGGATCAACACTTGCAACACAACAATTTTATCTACAAGCAGAAGGACAAATAACCTACAGTTCTTCTCAAAACATACAAAAATAACAGCTTCTGACCAGTGATAGAGACAGCAAGTATTTGTTGCATATTAGAAAAGCTTGACATTAAAGTAACTTTCATTATCCTTGACATCAAGGCAAATCACATCTCTAAAGTAAGAAATCAAGCTACATATATTGTTATTAATAGGAATAATATTTCTTACCATTCCTGTAAAAAAGAAATACTGCAACATAGCAAAAAAAACCCTGCATACTTCATCATCCATGCACGTGGGAAAAACACCTTGCTTTTGTCTGAATTTTGTGAATTTCCTATATAGCACTCATCTAGATAGAGGCTTTGAGGTCCAGAATGAGGTCATAAAATTAATTCCTTAAACCCAGCTCATGAACGGAAACAGATTTCAACTTTTAGGAGAAATGCATCTTCAGTTAAAATACTCCTACTGCAAAACATCAATGGTTCAACACTGAGCTTTATGAGCTCATGTGGTACATTTAAGTTACAAGTAACATTTTATCTGGATTTGCCTTGTGTGTGGTTCCATTAGACAGAATAAAACCCTCTCATTATATGTATTTTGGTCATATTTACAAGTTTACAATTATGGTCTAAGATGAGCATAAAGCCACACTCAAGATAATCTTAAGTTAATTAAACCCCATGAAAACTGAAAGACACAAAATGGGATCACATACCCCACAGTTTAATTTGTTCCCCCACAAAGCTGTTAAAATGTCATTCGGAGCCCTCATCTTTCAGGAATGGATCTTAACCAAAACCAACTTCAGCCTATTTACATGCTGAATTTTATGTGAATTTGATTTTGAGGTAACTGCTTTTGACACAAACAAGCCTATAAAATAAAATAAAGGTTTTTCTTAAATAGTGCTTTAGGGTTTTTTTCCAATTCACGGTGGTGTCTGATAAAAAATTACATTGATTTATCCTTTTAAGTACAGGTGCAACTTTGCAGAAGTTCTTTTTGTATCTGTGTTTGTGGGCTGACTGTTAGAAGCTTGTTTATGGTACCTCTCTTAGCCTTCCTGGGAATTTCAAGGAAAGGAGATCTCTTCATTTCTCCCTTTGTGTCTTTGTGCAAAAGCTGACAGATCCACCCTCAGCCTGAGAGCACCTTTGTTCTTTGAATCAGCTCTGCCTTATGGCAGCTGCTTTGCTCAGCTCCCAGCGAGGTGCACAAGGTAGACACATTACCTCTTTTTGCTCCTCCATGCTGGGGCTCCAAAAATAAAAGTAATGTTAACTGTAAAAATACATTTGTTAACACTAGGTTTACCTATATTCTATTGCATTTTCCCAAAAAGCTTCTAACAGAAGTCCATACAAAGCAACAATTTAATGTAATCATGGGATACAGCCTATGGGGTAATGCACAGGAAATGAAGGTTGTTAATTTGACTTCATGTGAACAGAACTCTAGTGAAAATGTGCAACAATAGTGATAATTTTGCTTACAGAAAATTACTTACCACAGGTAATAAAAATGTTTGTTTAAATTACTTTTATCATAGCTCAAGAAAACCTTATCAGAGACATAGTTCCTCTCTCCATGTAATCATGGGATACAGCCTATGGGGTAATGCACAGGAAATGAAGGTTGTTAATTTGACTTCATGTGAACAGAACTCTAGTGAAAATGTGCAACAATAGTGATAATTTTGCTTACAGAAAATTACTTACCACAGGTAAGTAATTACCAGGTAATAAAAATGTTTGCTTAAATTACATTTATCATAGCTCAAGAAAACCTTATCAGAGACACAGTTCCTGTCTCTTGTGGTGTGAAAGCTGTTTTGGAGAGTGGGTGTAAAATCTGCCCAGTGTGTGCATGGAGAACATATTGCACTGTGTACATTGTTAATTTGACTTCATGTGAACAGAACTCTAGTGAAAATGTGCAACAGTAGTGATAATTTTGCTTACAGAAAATTACTTACCACAGGTAATAAAAATGTTTGTTTAAATTACTTTTATCATAGCTCAAGAAAACCTTATCAGAGACATAGTTCCTCTCTCCTGTGGCATGAAAGCTGTTTTGGGGAGTGGGTGTAAAATCTGCCCAGTGTGTGGATGGAGAACATATTGTACTGTCTGTACTTAACTGTTCTCTGCTGGGGAAGATCCTCAATATTAGAAGAAAATACTATGATAGTGCTTTTACATTTTTAATATTTCAGAAAATCTTAATCAGAGAACATTTTTTTGAGGAGACTTATTTTTCCACAGCCATTCTCCCTTTTTGTACATAAAAATTAGGCAATCACAATGTTATGGAATATCATGAAAAAAAATATTTTGTGCCCCATCATGGAACTGAGGAAAGATTTAGAAGAAAAACCTGAAATTGCCAAGCTTGATTGGTGCTCCAGTTGTGTTTTTTGAGGGGTGTGTGTAGTTGTCATATTCCCATTATGTCAATATATCATCCATCTTTCTCCTCAGAACACCATCCAGCACTGTAGCCAAATGTTTCAAGTAATTTTCCTTTTGTACCTTGAGGCAGTTTCTTCCCCTGCCGCCTGAACCGGAACAGGGAAAGACAGGATCCGTTTGCAGTCACAGGCAGAGGGGATTACAGTAAAACCTTCATGACTTTCCCAGTATTGCAGATCCAATTGCAGACGCTTGGTGGAGCAGGATATTTACAAGTGGCAATGCACACTGTTAGTTGTGCGTGTGCATAACGAACAACTCACATTGCTGTTGGAAAAAACATATTTTTTCACTACAATCACTTGTTCCTCTGCCTGCTCTCTGCATAAAGGATGATAAGAGGACAATGGTACAGGGAGCTCATGTACCCTTCAGTTCCGTTCTCGTCCTCAGCTGAAGAAAGGAAACCTCCATAGGAGTAGCACTGCTTTTGAAATAGACCAAAACAGTAGGTTTAAACTAGATATTCAGAAAAAACCTCTTCACTGTGAGGGTGGTGAGGTGCTGGAACACCGCTGTCAGGACCTCTGGTTACTTCTCTACTAGGAATTGCTTTGGCTTTTTATTTGTTTCTTTCATCCGTTCCTTCTGCGGGGCGCGCGGCGGTTCCTCCGTTGGGTTCCTGACGCTAACGGACGAACGGCGGCGAGCCATGACGGCTCGGCAGCGGCAGCGGCAGCAGCGGCGGCAGCGCTCCTCTCGATCGGTTTTCCGCTCGATTTCCCGCACGCTCTCCGTTCCCTTTCTCCGTCTAACACTCCCTCCACTCCCGTTCCGCCCCGTCTCGTCCCGTTCAGTCCGTGTTCCGCCTTTCCCAGCCCGGCTCATGCCGCGTCCCGCAAGGCGCCCATGGGTGGGTCGGCCCCCTGCCCGGCCATGCCCGGCGCGCCGCGGTCTCCGCTCCGTCACGGTGTCTCCGGACTGGCTGTGGCGCCTCTGCAAGAGTCTCTGGAAGAGTTCCTCACTCTGGTTGTGGTGGGGCAGCATCGTCCTCTGGCTCCACCTGGCGCAGGCTCTGGCCCGGCCCCTCCCGCGGCTCCGCCCGCAGTCGCACCGCTACCGCCCGGCTCCCGCCCCGTCCTCGGGAGCTCCCCCAGGAGCTTCCCCGCTGCGAGCTCCGCCGCTCGTCAGCTCGGCCACCGGCCCCGAGCCGTCGGAGCCCGGGGCGGCTCGACAAGCAGCAGTGTTCGGATGCCGCGGGCAGAACGGCGATAGCGCGGTGCCGCCCGCGCGGGCGGCGGCCCCGAGCCGTCGGAGCCCGGGGCGGCTCGACAAGCAGCACTGTTCGGATGCCCCGGGAAGAATGGCGATAGCGCGGTGCCGCCCGCACGGGCGGAGAAGCGTCCGCTGGAGCAGCTCTACCGGGAGGGCCCGCTGCTGGGCAGCGGCGGCTGCGGCAGCGTTTACTCCGGGACCCGGCTCGCCGACGGCGCCCCGGTAAGAGACGGGGCCGGCTCGGAATGGGGCGGCGGGAGACGGTGGGCAGCGAGCTCATCCCGCCGCTCGCCTTGGCTTGCAGGTTGCCATCAAGCGAGTGTCTCGGGAGCGCATCTCGGAGTGGGCGCGGCTGGTGAGTGAGCGGGGCCCGCGGAGCAGCCGGCGGGGCGTGCCGGGCGGGGCTGAGGCGAGGCCCGGCAGGGCGGGAGCCGGAACGCTGCGAGGGGAGCGGGCGGGGAGTGAGCGGGGCCCGCGCAGCGTGCCGGGCCGGGCCATGGCGAGCAGCGGCCCCGCTGACGGCATCGCGGTCCCCCCGCAGCACAACGGCGCCCGTGTGCCCCTGGAGCTGGCCCTGCTGTGGAAAGTGTCGCACCCTGGCTTCCGCGGCGTCGTGCGGCTCCTGGACTGGTACGAGCTGCCCGACGGCTTCGCGCTGGTCATGGAGCGTCCGGAGCGCTGCCAGGACCTCTGGTACTTGCTGGAGGAGCGGGGGTTCCTGGCGGAGCCCGTGGCGCGGGGGCTGTTCCGCCAGGTGCTGGAGGCCGTGCGGCACTGCAGCAGCCGCGGCGTCCTGCACCGCGACATCAAGGCTGAGAACATCCTCGTGGACCTGGCCACGGGCGAGGCGAAGCTCATTGACTTCGGGTGCGGCACGATCCTCCAGGACACATTCTACACCCGGATGTCAGGTGAGCCCAAAGCTGGGGCCAGCCCGGGCAGGGGACATGTCCCCTTTTGCTGGAAGAGGGATGGAGGGGGAATCCTCCTTCAGCCGTTTGCAGCCCAGTTGCTTTTCGGCGGGGCAGGGGCTGGCTGTTGTGGAACGGGAGCTGGCTGGCAGGGAGAGGGAGCAGCATCATCTGATGAGCTGTGCCCGTGTCCCATAGGAACGCCAGAGTACAGCCCACCAGAGTGGATCCTCTTTGGCTGCTACCGTGGCCAGCCAGCCACCATCTGGTCCCTGGGCATCCTGCTCCATGACCTGGTCTGCGGGGATCTTCCTTTCCACACCAGTGAGGACATCATCAGAGGCCAGCTCTTCTTCCCACCCCGAGTGTCTCAAGGTGAGGATGCTCCTTCAAGGCACAGGGGGAAGAATGGCATTGGGAGGTGGAGCCTGGCACATGTGTCCTGCCCTTGCAGCTAGTGAGGAGGTTGATCTCCTGGGTTTAGCTGGAGAAGGTGGCACATGTGCCTCTGTGCTGCTCTCCTCCAAAATAGAGGATTGATGGGAAGTTTTGTGTGCAGCTCTGAGCGCTGCTAGTGTGGCGTGGGCACCATTGAATCTAGGAGAGCATGGACAGGAGCCTTGTCCCGCTGACCAGTGGTTTCTGGTTTGTCTCTGCAGAGTGCCAGCACCTCATCAGGTGGTGTTTATCCATGGAGCCCACAGACCGGCCATCCTTGGAAGACCTTTTTGAGCATTCTTGGCTGCAGGACCCCCACGTGGCCCAGGAGACAGCAGAGATCCATCCCTCTGCACAGTAGGATCCAGAAGCCCAGCAAGTACTAGCTGCATGCATCTCTTGGTGCTGGATGAAAACCCTGGAGCGTTTCCCTGTGGCCACGGCATGGAGGAGAGAGCACAGCCAAGGAGATACTTCCGCTGGTCCCCAGTGAGTTGTGGAGGGAGGGGCCCAGTGCTCCCCATCCTACTGGAGAATTGGTGGCAGTGCAGTGAAGTTGACAAGGACTGGAGAAAGGGAAACATCCCCCTGCAGCTCAATGGCATCATGATGTCCCCGCAAGCCAAGGCACAGCTGGCGTGTTCTTCTGGAGCACGATGTGGAGCTGGGAACACCATCCTGGAGCTGGCCTCTGGCTTTGGCTGCGGCCCCTTCCTGGAGGACACGCTCTGCGCCTCAAGGAAATCAAGATGAGTCCCCAGCAGGGGCAGGGGGATGCTCATGCTCCCAGGCATGGCAGGGCTTGGCCTGGCCTCACACCAGAGGTTCTCTGCTCGGTGGTGATGAGGAATAATTTTTCCGCTGGTTGCCAAGCTACTTTTTGGTGGGACAGGGGACGGATGCTGTGGAAGGGGAGCCAGCCAGCTCCTGGCCTTGCTGACAGCTTCTGCCAGCCAGCCTGGCATGGGCTGAGGCAGGGACAGCCAGCCTGACAAAAGCATCCATGCCTGTGGATGGGGGCAGCAGAGGAGGATGGGTTCTGAAGCCATGCCCCAGCTGGTCTGCTTTGCAGGCCCTTGAGGAAGGGGTGTGTTTACAGGCAGGAAAGGTGGGGTTTTTCCCCACCCATGGAGAGGTTTAATTCTCGCATGGAGTGGTCAGACTCTCCTTAGGCCCGTGATACAGTGATAAGCTTTGACACTTTTTCTCATTTCTAGGTCTTCTTTTGAATTGACTTTCATGCAATTGCTCTTTTTTTTTTTTTTTTTCCCCCAGGAAGATTGCACCTGGTGCCCAGACCAGATGGGGAAACATCTTCACTGTCTGTGGAGTGTGTCCAGTGCCAGCGTTGCCCCTGCAGAGGGACATCCCCTTCAAGAAGGACTAGGATGTTGTGTAGGATCAGCTCCTCTCCTGACAGCAGGTCTCCAGGGGTGGGTACCCGGCTCCACAGCTCGGCTGGCAGAAGGGCTTTGGGCAGATGGCAGTGGCCACACGGGCATCCTGCTCTTGCAGCTGCTGAGGAGGTTGCTGAGCATGCTGAAGCGGAGGAGGTGGAACGTGGCCTGCCATGCTGCTCTTCTCTAAAATCAGAGACTGGGTCGTGATGTTTGGGCTCTGAGCACAGCCAGCAGCCTGGCCCTGGCACAGGCCATGGTGTGACAGTGGGGACAGGAGCCTTCTGCGATTGACCGTGGCTCTCTGATTTCTCTCTCCAGGCTGCCAGCACTTCATGCCATGGAAACAGCACCGCTTGACCTGCTAGTCTGGGAGGGCTGGAGGGTGGCGGGTATTCATTTGCTGTCAGAAATAAATCGTTTTGTTGTTGTCATCATTGGAGAATTTCTTTCATCCTTTTCTGAGCTTTTGCCTCCCTTCATCCAGGGTAATCCTTTTGTGTCCTTTCTCAGCCATAGAAAGCATTTGACAGGGGGTGTAAATTAACGTGAAAAATTCAACAACAGCTCTTGTTGCAGGCCCCTGGCCATGAACACTGGCCCTTTTCCCTGGGAAACAAAACTCACCCACCCCAGTTTCTTGATGTCAGTTTGCAGGAGGTGTTTGGTACTCCCAGGGCAGCCCGAGTTATAGGTGGTGGCAGGTTGGGTCTGGGAGACATCCTGCACTGTTTGGAATTTGAGGAGATGGCAGCCCACTCAGGGCCAAAGGCCCCAGGATACAAATGCTGGCTCTTTTTGGTGCCAAAATAGCCCTCATCCCCCCAGTGTGTAGATGCCAGTTTGGGGGAGGCATTTGGCACTCTGCGGGTAACCTGAGTTCTTGGTGGTGGCAGCTTTTTCTGGGGGAAATCCTGCGCCTTTTGGAATTTTAGAAAGCAGAAGGTCGCATGGGAGCACAGGCCCTTGGGCGGGCAGGAGGCTCCTGGATGTAAACGCTGGCCCTTTTCTGTGGGAAACAAAACTCACTCCCCCCAGTTTCCTGAGGTTAGTTTGCAGGAGGTGTTTGCCACTGCCAGAGCAGCCCAAGTTGTAGGTGGTGGCAGGTTGGGCCTGGGAGACATTGTGTGCTATTTGGAATTTAAGGAGTGCACTTGGCTCCTTGTCTCCTTGTTGTGTTCAGCACAAACAGGAGCCCAGAGCTCCTGCAGAAACCATCACAGCACTCAGTGGGAGCAACTTTTGTCCAGTGCTCACATAGAGCTGTGGTGTCCAGCACTGCACCTCATTGGGATGAGGAACTGTTCCAGCCCTCTTGGGAGGAGCTAAAAGGAGGTTTGGCCTTCAGATCAGCTCCTTCCCTGCTCTGGATTTGCTGCCCTGGTTGAGCTGCTGCTTGTGGCAACACTTGTTTCCCAGCTGCCAGCCCTGCTCTGCTGGCCAGCAGCCATTGCAGGAGCTTGTGCTAGTGACACTGAACCTTTCAGATCTTCCTAAGGAAAGCTCAGGGCAGAACTTGTCAAAAGAGAATTGCATGGGCAATGCTTTTAACGTTAAATCTTTCCTCTGTGCTCCATGCCGTATGCAGTAAATATTTGAGGAAGAAAGTTTGCAGCTCCAGAAATTCCTTAAAACAGTCAGTTAAACCGTAACAGAACACGATTTAGGATGTGTAATCTCACTTTAATTCATTGT